CCCACCACGGGCTCCTGTGTGTTCCTCGGGATGTGACGGGTGATGTCTCGGCGCCCTGTTGGTATCCTTTTCCACACTTGCCTCAAGCAATGTAAACTTCCTAGGGGCAAAACTTTACATACAGCTTGTGCCCTGTAGAGAACTACCCGCATGCATTAGATGCTGAGAGCTTTTCTGTGGTGGCCAAGTGAACGCAGGCGCTGGTTTACTCTGCACCAGACCCTGTGCTAATCATTCTGTGGATCTCACGGCCTGCACTCTAGAATCTTGTGAAGGGCTTATGTTTTCTGTTTTACAGAGGTGGAAACTGAGGCACAGGGAGGTTAATGTGTTCAGTGTCATATATCTAGTTGCCAATGAGACCATGGTTAGAATCCGAACGTGTCTCTTGCTCATGGGCGGGCTCTGAGTTGGACGTTGCTGAAGGCCTGGAGCACGCCCTTCAGTGCTCCCGACAGTCATTTCTAATCCTCTGGTCCCTGGGTGTGTGGGGGGGGGACAACAGCGGCAGGAGGATCACCTCAGGCTTGGGCAAACAGCAGCATGAAACCTCATACCATGAAAACACTGTGAAAGGAGGCCAGCGTGCTGGCTTTTGTTGTTTTACAGAACGCACAAACGAGAAGCAACCAACGTGCTCCACAAAGGGATCCTCTCTCTCCTCATGGGTCCGCTTGGCTGTGAGCATGGGAAGCAGTTCTGTAGGAAGCAAGAGCTTGCTCTGCATGGGAAGGGTGGTCGCGCTGTCCTGGCCCGTCACACAAGGCAGGCTGACGGTGGCCTGCAGAGCAACGTGGAGGGCAGCAGACGTGCGTGGAGCTGGCCGTGTCCGAGGCCTGACTGCCTGGGGCTTCACAGGAGAGGGCGCAGGAAGGAGGGCTGTGGCTGGCTGCATGGACCTTGGCAGTCCTACTCTGTTCCCATCTGTGGGCGCTGCCTCCCACACGAGAAAGAAGGAAGCTGAGCTCCTGCCAGCCTACGTGGAGGCAGGACCTGTATTTCGCAGCCCCAAGAGCATCACAGAGTAGTTTAAAGGGTACTTTAGCTATGTAGATGGGGCCCTAAAGGAGAAGAGTATCTGTGGCACTTCTTTTGGTAAAAATAAATTTTGATCTACTCCTGCCTGCTTGCCTTAGTATCCGAACACAGGATGATTTCGTTGGGCTATGTCAAAACTCTTCTTTGAGCTGTTATTAAAAATTCTGACATTCAGAAGAGGACTCCAAGGCTCCCAAGCCATCTGCCAGCACACCGTCCCATTCCCAGGGGTCTATTTACAGCCTGAGGTGTGGTGCTCGCTGGTGGCACCTTTTCACACAAGAAATCACACTCATACCCTGAAGCCACCTGCATCTGTCTTAATGCTAATTTCTCCTCTGCCAGAAAAAAGATGCTAGTTGAGACTTTTAAAAGGAGAGATCCTCCATGTCAACGTGTTATGAGAAGATAAAACAAGCTCCTCACCTGCACAGGCCTCCGGCCAGCGGCACCAGGCGCCTGTGCAGCCCAATTCCCTACTCGAGGGCCTGATAAGGCTCCGCACCAGGTGCCTGGAGATTTCCTTGTGCTCACGTGTCATGGAATGGCATTACACAGCTATCACGACTGTCTCTCTAGCGCCTCAGTTGTACATTTTTCAAGAGTCAGGGAGCCCGGGGTTTAGCAGCCACTCTGTACATCCATACAAACTCCATGAATCTGAATCAGGCTTTTGGCATAGTAACAAAGAAAGCTCTTTCCTTGGCTTCCAACAGTGAGCCCGTCTTGGCTGCTGGGGAGGAGACGGTCTGGGGTCTAAGCTGTTTCCCAGTGCTAGCGTTCTGCTCAGCAAGCCTGGGTGTAGCATGCCGGCCCGAGCTCATCTGTGAGCTGTCCAGTGGAGGCCTCCGAACTTCCTATAAGTTGCACAAGCCTTTGGAAGTCACTTAACAGGTCTGCCGTCAACTGCTGGATGGACCTTCATTATCTTTGGGGAGTAAAACTAGCCAATTATAAACTCATTTTAATTTATGATTGGAACATGTGGGCTGCTAATTAAGCGCGGGGTCAACCAGGGGGATCCTCTTCCTTTTGCAAGAGCATCTAATAACCTCCCATTACCATTTATTCAACAGAAAAGTTTACAGGAAGCAGAAAGATCTCTACTCTGCCAGGGAGGCAAGCAGCTAAGGGAAGTTCCCACAAATGCAAGGAATACAGGCTGGACCCCTGGTGCACGGAGAACTCCAGGTGGGCCTTGGGGTGCACCAAAGCCCCTTAGGAGCTCCCTGGCAGATGCTGTGCTGGCCAGGCAGCCACCAACGGAGAGGCGTACACCTGAAAGAGGTGCTGAAATTGTTTTAGGAAGATGGCATAAATTATAAGTGTATGAACAAATAGATGTGTTGGGCTTTTAGTTTATGACTGATACCGAAACGGCAACTTGAGTAATTAGATTTTGGAATAATTCATGTGAAAGCAATAACAAGGTGGGAAATTGTCACTTCATTATTTAATTTCTTCCTCTGTTCATGACTATAAATCAAAACATTGTCAGAATTGCAAGCATATTAAAAATTAAATTAAAAAATTCCTGGGGAATGTGGATTAAAAATGAAATAGGGTTTTTTTTTTTTTTTTTTTGATCATTGTTTACTGTCATGTAGTAACTGAGTGCTGAATTACAGGACTTTTAATTTAATTGTTGGGAGACGCTTCTGGAAGAAAATCAGTACTTTACAAGCAACCCGAGAACTTTCCAGTGCGTTCCGTCATGTGCTTCAGGTCGCCCTCCTTCCCGCGTCCCTGCGGTGGCCCCCGGGATGTTCACGGTGCCGGCTGGAGGCGCCAGGGGACAGGGCCAGCGTGGTTTCTGGGTGTGGCTGAGCGGATTCGCTGAAGACCGGAGGGCCGCCTGGCGGAGCCCCCGGAACACGGGCCGGTAACCTGCGTGCGGCGAAAGCGGACAGGACCTGGCCTCCTTCTGCGCCGCAGCCCTTCGGTGGCTCCGCGACTGCAGTCTGCTTCTCGCGTGGCGCCGGCGCGCTGCCTCCTGGCTGGCCCTCAGCGCGCACTCCTAGCGCGGAGGCCTCTCCCGCGCTGTGCCCCAGTTTGCACTCGTCCCCGGGGTTTGTTCCTGGTGGCCCCCAAAGCCTCGTGGGCACAGCGGCCCTGCGGGGTGCCGAGGAGGGCGCTCGCGTGGCCGCGAGGACGCGGGGCCGGCGGGAGAGACGACGACTCGGGGTGTCCTCGGGCCGGCCGCCGGCCCAGCAGTCGCCCGATGCACGCGGGGCACCGCCCGCGAGAGACCTGAGCACCCGCAGGCTCGGGCTTTCCTGCGGGGCCTGCCCACGCGAGGGCGGCGCGGACCTCTTGCGTAGCAGAGCGGTGTGTTCCGCTCGCTCATGTCCTCCTGGACGTACTACTGCTGAATTTTTTTCTTTTTTCCTTTTTGGTATTTTGAGAGGGTTTCACTACACAGTTCAGACTTCAGGCTGGCCTCAAACTCCCGGATCCGCCTCTCGAGCGCTGGGATTACAGGTGAGTGCCCACCCCTGGCTTTTTTTTAAAATCGTAGGAGCCTGAACAATTTTACTACTTGTTTCCAGGTTGTAAGTCCTGGAAAGTTAAATGGCAGGTGGCATTTTCTGGTGTCTGTAACTAAGAGCTTTGCACCAAGTAAGAGACCTGATGGTCACTGCAGAGTGGGCCCAGCCCGGGACCGGCACTGCACTCCTCCTCCTGAATTATATTCCTGCATTCCCAGAGACAACACACACACACACGCGCACACATGCACTTACTCATGGTTTCTTCACTTGTCACATATGAACACTGTCTTACCTCTTCTAAAAGCAAGGCGACTCAGCGCAAGTGGGTGTGAACATTTGGCTACTTCTCAGGCCTTCTAGTTATTTTTGTAGTCTTTATATTCCACTGAGATTCTATTTCTAGACAGGTTGTTATGTATAAACTTTACCATTTGTTATAAAAATGTGGCAGGGGGGCCAATGAGATAGCTCAGCAGACTAAGCGCCTTCTTTGGCAAGCGCAGGGACCAGGGTTCGATCCACAGTCCCACATGCTGTGTCAGCCCTGCCCCCGGGGCATGCTGAGTGACTAAGTCGGAATGTGGTGGCGCACGCCTGTAATCCCAGCCCTGGGGAGGCTGAAAACAGAGGATCACTGCGAGTCTGAGCTGTGTAGTGAGACCCTGCACCAAATACATAAATTTAAAAAAAATGGGGCATGCAGTCAGTCACAATAGCAGTGGTCTACCTGTACCTATGCGGCTGTGTCCTATGGTTTGAACCTGCTCCCCAAATTCCTAGTAGGAAGCCTCATCCCTGCCCTCTGCCAACTGGAGGTCCAGTGACTGGTCCTGGAGCTCCACTGGAAGGAGCCAGCCAGGGCCACTGTCGGCAGAGGGGCAGGGGTTAGCCGGCCTTAGCCTGGGTGTGCTAGGGAGTAACGTGGCCCCATCTTGCTCTCTGCTCCACCCTCGTGGTCACCCTAGTCTGGAGAAAGTGAGCCACTAAACTTTTCCCGTGTGTAGTACTGACCCTGCAGTACTGTTATAGGCTTAGACCAGGACGGAGACAATGAGGCAGAGGTCAGCGTGCGTCGAGCAGCAGCCCACGGAGCTCAGCTTGCAGCCGGAGCGCCAATAACTGACAGTCCTGATTCTAACGCCAGCTGATCATGTTCGACTGTATCATATAAAAATCACCAGGAGCTCAAAGAACGAGCCCTACCCTTTCTAAAAGAAAACAGTAACATTTCTTCTTGTCGCTAACTCATTCCAGCAAAGCTAGAACTGTCTGGCAAGGGTACCATTCAGAAGTAGAATTCCTGTTTTCTGCTGGTCCCGAAAGGCTACCGTCCCCTACTATGGATGCATTACACCCCAGCCTGGCCTTGCAGTGTGCGTCGTCTCCTGCCTGGAAGACACATGGCTCCTCACATGGCTCCCCGTGTGGGCCTCTTCCCTCTGAGGGCCCCTGAGCTGTGGCATGACTCACCTGCAAGCCCGCGGAGTGCCTTGGGGGGCTCCTCCAAGATGGTGGTCTTCTTCTGCCGGGAGGACGGGGCGGGCTTCTCGCTGGCTGAGTCTGTAGATGAGCTGTCCTTCTCGCAGCTCCCGGCCAGGCCGTTCTGCATGGGGGCCTGGGGCTGCGCAGGCCCCGTCTCTGGCTTCTCTGCCTTGTCCTTAGCATCTTTGTTGCCCTGATGCTGCTTGGACTTGCTTCTTTTTCTTTTATTATTCTATGGTGAGAAGCAAATGAGAAAAATAATGCTCTTCAGCCCAGAGCCTTGAAATATAAGGTGGACTGAAGATTTGAAAATAAGATAATCTTTTTTGGCCCCAGCTTTTTTCATAGGATGGGTTAAAATGCCTACATATTTATTAATCACCCAAATTGATTTAAACATTTCCTTTCTACTTGGGAGTCTGGTGTATGAATGGTAACACAGCAATCTTGTGGTAACAGCCCTGGGGAACTTGAGTGAGTCATGGGGGTCCTGATGGTCCTGCTCATTTTTGTTTTGAGGCAGGATCACTCCATGCAGTTCAGGCTGGCCTTGAACTTGCCAGGTAGCTTAGACTGGCCTCGAACCCACAGCAGTCTTCCTGCTCAGTCTCCCAGGTGCCGTGTACCAGTACAACCAGCGAGCTTCTTTCTGAAGAGGTGGTGGGGAGCAGAGGCCAAGTGGGCACTAAGGCTCTGACATGCAGGGAGGCTGGGGGTAGGGCAGGGATGGCGGAGAATGGCAGGAGAAAAAGAGGTCCTTGAAGAGTAGGTGGCATCTATGAAACAGGTCCCATAACCAGGCCCTCCCTGAAATGGCTGCCACTGGGGAGAAGGCTGCAGGCAGCCCCGGGCTCCACGGTCACCGGTGGGTGTTGAGGCCGGGCAGACCCTGCACAGTCAATGCCCTGAGGCCCTGTGGCTTCCTGCACTGGGGCTGTGAAGCCAGGTCCTGCGTGGCTCTGTGGCTGCCCAGAAGGCACTGCTCACTGCACAGCACTTACTGTGAAATAGCATGACCCCAGAGCCCCAGCATTAGGACCTGCCAGGCCTCACTGCAGCTCTCCTAGTGTCCTGTGGTGAGTATGCCGAGCTCCCGAGACACGGAGAGCGCGCGCCCTGACCCCGTGCCGGCTCGCTTGGTGTGGCTCTGGTGGTGTGCCGAGCTGGGTCTGCTCTTAGGCACAGGGGAACTGGGAAGTCTCCTCCTCTGCACTCTCCTCCCCACTCCCTTCTTTCCTCCTGAAGCTGCGCTCTGCTCTGGCTAGGGATGTGAGCCAAGGACTGCAGGACAGGGCCACCGGCACCTCTTCTCCCACTGCCCAGCAGCTGGTCACCTGGGAGGCCAGTCTGGGAGGCTCCAGCGGGGGGGAGAGCCGCAGCGCGCACGCCACGCGGGCTGTGGGCATCGCTGAGAGCTCTGAAAGGTCTGCCACGGCTGCTGCAGAAGGAGGCGCAGCCAGGAGTCAGGTCTGCAGCTGCTGCCTGCTTTTCCTCTTTTCATCAGAGAAATGTAAAACCCAACCGCACCTACAATCCCTGGTTCCACAAAAAAACAAAAAAATAAAACCCAAACCGCACATCTGACATTTCTCCATGTAAAGATAAATACTGCCTTTCAATCACTTGCAAATCACCCTCCTCTTGCACAGAAGCCTAAGCTGTGATTAAAGACAAGCGGGGGTTGTCAAAATGGTGGCACACAAAGATGGGAAAAAATCTCCTAATTCTTTCCTTTCTACATGAAACTGGGAGAACAAAAGGTGAAGAGAGGATTCCAGTGATCGTGGGGCTGTGTGACCGAACGCTCCTTTCTGTGCACTGGGAACCTCTTCACGGGCGTGCGATTGCCCTTCGGGGAGTCACGGCTTGCTGGTGTGCGACTTCCAGGACAACCAGAACAGGCGTCGGGATGCCACTGTGGCCCCTGCCACCACGTGCACAGGCGCCTTGCCCATGTGTCCCCGCGGGACCAGACGCAAGGGAAATGCTGCCACCTAAAGGGGTCAGAGGACGCCCCGTCCCTCATCCTCCGAGTGGCGCCCCAGCACTGAAGGCATTGTCCTTCTTCTTTTACTAAAGACCTACTCCGCTCAGCCAGAAAATCCATCTCAGGGTGGCCTCTGACAAATTCTTTCCCCTGAGTGCACATGAGAATGCGCTCGGAGCTGTCGGCAGCTACAGGCGCTCCCTGGCTTCCCGCTGCACCAGGCCGGCCAACGTCTCGGGGGGCTCCAAACCCTCCGGCGGGGATCCCGCCCCGACAAAGACACACAGCCCCGGGGCTTGCCGAGCAGGCCTGCGGCCAGTGTCATGGAAGAAAGCCCGACATTCACAGCGAGAGCGGCTGGGCCTCGGGAACCGGCCTGGGGATGCTCTCTAGGTATGCACAGGGAATCTGAGGAAGCGCGAGCTGGCATCTTTGTGGCAGCTGTGAGGGCCCAAGTGAAAATGTTACTTCACATTTTATGTATGTTATTCCTCTTACCTTCTTTTTGCCCGTCATATTCCATTCTTTCAGAACTTGAATTGCACTGCCTAAATAAAAACAAAAAACGTCAACTAATACCCACATAATAAAACACCACAAAGAATTCATCTCTGTCTTCCCATCTTAGGAGCAATTTTCTTTTTGGCTCTTTCATCTGTTTTGATACATCCTACCTTAATAAAAATGCCAGCTTCATTTCTTGTTCCTCAGATTTTCATTTAATTCACTACACAATCTTGTTTTTATCAAAATATTAAGCTCTACTACATGAAGCTTACTTTTTATCATTATAGTGTCTTAGGGAAAATGAAATATATCTTGAGAATTTTCTGACGGCTTCACCGCCATGGTAGAATTAAAATTTTGTTTGATATATGGATAAAAACACCTACAATCCTCTCAACCAGACAAGGGACTCTGAATATGACTAGCCAGGAGTCAGCACTCCGTGGACACTCCTGCCCGCATGTCCTTCTGTGCCCCGCCTGCGGGGAGACAAGGAGGGCAGGTCCTGCCGCGGCTTCTGCTCAGCGTGGTTGTCACCAGGCTTCCACGCTGAAGCCAGTGAGGCTCAGCAGACAGAAAATGGGGCGCCACGTTCCATCCATCCCACTCATATCCACGCGGGAAACTGCACTGAGTCGGGGGCCTAAGACGGCCAGCAGCAATTTTAGAGATATTTTACTACCGGCTGGTTACACTGTTTCCACACAGCACATCCAACTCCACTTCTTCCAACTGTGTGTTGGAGGCAGTTTTGATAAAAAGTTGCCTGGAATGAGTATATCATTTATTTTATATCAACAGGCACTTTGAGGAGAACGGCTCAAGTGAGTTGGCAGTGTTGTGCATCCTCGTGTGGTCTTGCTAGACTGATGGTGCTCCATCAGGAGGGTGCTGACTAAACAAGGGTGCACTTCAGGCTGGTCTTCACGACAGGACTCATCCTAGCAGGTCCCCAGTGGAGTTGGCCGTCACTTGCAGATGAGCAGAGTGCTGTGCTGCGCATGCTGAGACTCGCTGGCTACTGCTATCTATTTGGAGTGCCCATTAAGTGCCTCTCTTAGACTCGAGCGTGTGCACCAAAGAGTAAGCCATGACGCTGACTTCCTATTCACTTGGGTCACCGTGCTCTTACTTGCTCAGGGACTTAGCAGTTTACAGGATTTCCCTGTTGAAGAGCTGTAAGAGATCATTTCTGGGCTGGGGAGACAGCTTGGTGCTCTAAGCACCTGCCCAGCAAGCGCAAGGACCCTGGCTTGATTCCTGGGACTGCATGCCATGCTGGCCTCAGAACTCTGGGCACACTGTGCCAGTCACTGAGACCAGGCATGGTGGTACATGCCTATAATCCCAGCCTTGCGGAGGCTGAGACAGTAAGATCACTACGAGACTGAGCTGCATAGCGAAACCCAGTAATGATTTTTTTTTTTTTTTAAAGAGGTCATGTCCAGGCAGTTTTGTATAAGTCACTACAGTAGTCAATAATCACTAGGGTTACTCCTAGAGCCAAGCTTTCCTTTCATAAGTAAGACTGAATTTAAAAATTTGTTAAATGCTATTCTTTTTAATCAGAAGGGGAGTTGCTTACTGTTTTTGCAATTGTAATATTTAATTATTCTCTAATTTTCATATGTGACATGAATTCTATTTGTAATTCGGATAATGGGTTAAGAGTAATTCTGTGGAAGAAATACCCATATTTATAGAAGATTTTGAAACTGTTACTATTACATTTTTATTTCACTGAACTACTTATTTAGAATTTTTAAATACCACTTGGAAACAGTGTTTTAAATATGCCTCATGTGACTAATAGTTTCACCTCTCAGTGGCTTTAAAAAACCTTCTCCTATAGGTTCTCAACCAGGACATGAGGTGCTGATGGATTTCCGAAGGAGGTCTCCCACGGACAGGCTGAATGCGACAGTGCAGGAAGGCCCACAAGATGCTCCATGTAGATGGGGACAGACCTGGGGGTGCCCACTGACCACAACTGCGTCTGTGCCTCACCAGACTTGGCAGGGGGCTGAGCCCGAGGGGCGGGGAGGAGTGAGGGAGGAGCCTCGCTCCTGAGCTCAAGCTTTTTTCCATACAGTGATGCGGGCAGGAGAAACCTAAGAAGGGTTTTATTGGAGCCAGGATGTGCTCATTTGTAAAACTTTTTGGAGATAAACTATACTTGGTGCTCCAAAGTCAAATTAGTATTACATTTCCTGCTGCTTGTTTCTAATTCGTAGTGAATCTATCTCTGTTAGTTTATGAAGAAGGGGAAACTGAGAAAGGTCACGTATGGCAGGCTTGCTTGCGGGTCTATTGTGAATGACAGCTGCTGGCCAATTCTGTTACAGCCCTACACCTCGACTGCTGATTCCAGAATGTGGACAGCTGCTTGGATCTGGGATCTTGCCCTGAAATGTATTTTACTTGCAGGAACTCTAGAAGATCCTTTTATTCCTAGGGAAATTAGCAGATCCCACTGTCCTCAGCAAAGCGTATGCAGGCTGCAGCCAGGAAGTGTGTGACACACACACATGCTCTGGCCTCACTCCTGAGGCCTGAGCAGCGAATGCACGCTTACAGAATAGAAACTAGTGCCTGGACAGAGGACCTAAGAGCAGAGGGCCGGCAAAGGGGCTCTGTTCACAGCTGAAACTTGCTCAGTTTGTCTGGGGAGGAGACTTCCTCATAACGTACAGAAAATCTAAGGCTTGTGTTGTGAAATTACAGGACAAACACACACCTGAGACTTTAGATTCTAGAACACCCCTGGCAATGGACTGCTCGAAAACAAGCAAAAACAAAACAAAAACATTATTTTTTCCCCAGAAACAAAAAAGTTTTAAAGTAGGAAAAGATGAACAGATATTCTGAGTTCAAGGTTCCCGCCACAAAGCTGAGGAGAATCCTGTTGTTGGGAAGGGTGGGAAAGCCTTCCAGGGCTGCGTGAAGCTCCCACCCTCCCTGTGCACGGAGCCCTCATGTGAAGGACACATGTGGGAACAAACAGGAAGGGCTGGAGCCAGGCCTCTGTCGCGTTAGGCAGTAACCTCTGTATACTTGTCTGTATAATCTTGCTGATTTGAGAAAGAACACCCAGATTCTACTCCTGCTGAGCACGTCTACACGCCCTTTAAACCCGGCATATTTTTATGAAATTAGCAGCAAATGACATTCAGTTCACTTAGAGACCTCCCTCCCATGCCTGAAAAGCCCCAAGCATGGACTGTCGAGCTCCGTGTCTTCAGCGTCCAGGCATGGGCATACCCACCGTCGACGAAGGCCTGCACAGCTTTATCCACATTAAAATCAAACTGCTGTAGCACCAGGACTATTTCATTATTGCTTTTGTTGGGAACTACTGATCTAACCGCGTAGATCTGTAAGCACAAAAAGAAGAAAAGAAAGGTAAATGCTTTAAATGGTTTTCATTTACGGCTGTTCCACTGTGCAGCAGGCTGACGGCTGGAGCGGCCAGCACTTCGTCCACCTCCAGCACACACCCCAGGCCCGTGGCTGGCACGCCCCTGGCGTGCTTGCTGGGGTCCTCCACTGCATGCGAGCTGCCTCAGAGGCCTCCCTGTCAGCTTGGGTGGGCGCGAAGGCCCACACAGACTTGCTTCAGGGAGGACACAGCCTTTTTCTGTCTCGGGCTTCCTTCCCACCCACTCGGGGCAACCTTAGAAAATGTGGAGAAACAGCTTCGCACCTCTACTTCTCTGGCTGCACAGTGAGGATGGTCAGTCGGGCCACAGAGGCGGGCCGCGAACCCCTCTGATGTTCACCAAGATAGGAAAATATAAGTATTGTATTTAAAAAATGGTAATTCTTTTTTATAAGAATAAATAATCCAGAAAATGATCTCCAACACATTTTCTGAAAAGCAAGCATTTAAAACTGTGAAAGTACAAACACAGAGGAGCTAAGGGTTTTGATGGGCACAGCTCACAGCCAGCACTGGACAGCTACACGCATCTCCTAGGCAGCAGCAGCAACTCCCGCTGCCTTTAGGGTTAGCAGGCTATACCTCAGGGCACTCGGGACTATCACAGGACGCTCTACCTGCTGCAGCACCGCCTAGCTCACCTCAGCTTTCTGTGGCAGGGATTTCAGCACTGACAAATGCCAGATCTCTGCACTGTTCAAAAGCAAACGGTTGGCTAAAGTTCCCCAAAATCTTTACTACCACTCTCACTAGTAGTTACGTTAAAATCCGTGAGCTTTTGAGTTAAATGCAGTTGGTCGTAATCAGATTCATGAAATGTGGATTATATGGGCTGGAATGTACAGTAGGATGCTATTGATCAGAACGATTAACTGAACAATGTAATTTCTTTCTTGATTTTCAGAAAATAGGCAGCCTATTCCATATAGTATATGAGTTTTGAGTTATAATGAAAAACAAACTATGAGAAACAAGACTCACCGAGGTTTTGACATTATTGATTAGAAATTTGGTTTTGAATCCTGACATCTGTAAATGCTAAATATGGGTTTTCACCAGGATTGTAACACACACACACACATACACACATCCAAGATTTTCACATTTGATGATTCTTAGTTTTTCTAGCTTCCATTAAAACCAATAACTCCTTAAAACCTAAGTTTTCTTTCTTTTCTGTACTGTCGCTATAAATCCAATTCAGGGACTATTCTTTGAACAGCTATTGTGTGCTGAGCCCCCCAACTTTCTGGAACTTGAGGAGGATGCTGGCTTCGCGACCCCACAAATCAGCATGCATTTGCATACTGTACGCGAGTGCTGTGCATCATCCCCAGGGGACCTGAGTGGGGGGCCGCCAGAAGGATGACGGCAGCAGAGAGCAGGCTGCCTGGCCGAGCTGGAGGGCCCCGAGGAGCACTGCAGGGTCAGGGCCTGGCCAGGACCAGCCCACCACCCGGGCGCGACGGGGTGGGTCTCGTGAGCAAGCCCACCCGCGCACTGTGATATGTCTTTTCTCTTTCACTCGCTTTGTTGGAAAGATAGTTATTTCTCTCCCAAATACCTTTAAAAAATTTATGCAACCCAACCTGAAAGTCTGGTAAGACAGTATAATAATTATTACAGTCTAATAATAAGTGATATTTGCCTTGGAGTGATACTGTGTTGGAGTTGCATATATGAATATGTTTGCCTTCTAATGTATTTCTTTTAAAAACATTTTGTATTTCAAGCCATTATGGTTTGATGGTATGACATAAAATTTCTTAATAATTATTATTACCCTATTTAATGTCCTTCTAAATACAATGTCTAGTTATTAATTACATCAATTACATTATTGTTACACTAGATCAGTTTTCAACGTACCTACAAGCTGTGAACAATAATGACCTGGAATTATGGAACAAGCATTTAATTGTTCTCCTTGCTTCCGTTCTTTCCCTGCCAAGCATAATGTCTCATTATGTTAAGGCAAACAAAATATAGTGCACTGCTTATAGAGACATGGCCTTTCTAGATGTTATGCTGCTTTTTCCTATCCTTTTTTAAAAGAAAAAATACAACAGCAACAAAATACAATGTCGGTCAGGCATGCCCAGAAAGCGTTTCCGGTGCTTGCCACTGCCTATATGCTAGGTTTCAGTGTATCTTTCAAAAACTTGATAACTGAGTTCTGTTCTCAAACCTATGGAATTCCTGGAGGATGCCAGGATTAACACAGGTGTCCTGAGGTTTACAGAGCAAGGGAAGAATGCTTTCTGCCTCTCCTTGGCTGCTCCCCGGTGGAGCTGAACTCTGACGCACCGCAGGCGGGTGGCCACGTTCTGCTTCCACCCCTGGGCTGTGCTGCTGTGAAGGGGGCAGCACTCTCCCTGCAGCTGCTTTTTGCAGAGATGTTTCTGCGTGCACAAGCACACATTCACACACTCACACTCACACCTCGCCCCATT